TCATTAAGCACTTTACATGTGGCTAGTTACATATAAGGAGATAGTGAGATTTGTGCTTGATATGAGTAAGAGGATCTTAGTAGATCTGAGATGAGGTCTCTTGTTCCTATGTTTTTTGCTTTAATAGCTGTTTCCCCCTCTTTTTTTCTTTTTCTTCCTTCCAGCATGGCAGCTATCCATCAGTAAAAGAAATACAGTCAGGCATGATGGCATAGGCCTATAATTCCAATATTCAGGAGCCAGAGGCAGAGTTCGAGGCCAGCTTAGGCTACATAGGGAGATTCTGTCTCAAAAAACCAGGGCTGCTTATGTAGCACAATGGTAGAGCACTTGCCTGGCATGCATAAGGCCCTGGGTTTGATCTGCAGCATCACAGGGGGAAATAATTAAAGTTGAAAAAAAAAATACAGTAACCAGGGCACACTTTTCCTTAAATAGAAAAATGGTGGCTCCTGGTCCCATTGTGGAATATTAAGTGTTTAGCATATAGTCTTTTTTTTTTTTTTTTTTTGCGGTGCTGAGGATGAACCTAGGCCTCACACATGCTAGGCAAGTTCTTCACTGCTGAGCCTCATTCCTAGCCCTTGGGATAGTCTTGTCTTAAGAGCTTATTTTAATATACGATGGAGAAATAGCAGCCTCTTCAACAAAAACTGCTGGGAAAACTGGTTAGCAGTCTGCAAAAAACTGAAACTAGATCCATGTATATCACCCTATACCAAGATTAACTCAAAATGGATCAAGGATCTTAATATCAGACCCCAAACTCTTAAGTTGATACAAGAAAGAGTAGGAAATACTCTGGAGTTAGTAGGTATAGGTAAGAACTTTCTCAATGAAACCCCAGCAGCACAGCAACTAAGAGATAGCATAGATAAATGGGACCTCATAAAACTAAAAAGCTTCTGTTCATCAAAAGAAATGGTCTCTAAACTGAAGAGAACACCCACAGAGTGGGAGAAAATATTTGCCAATTATACATCAGACAAAGGACTGATAACCAGAATATACAGGGAACTTAAAAAACTAAATTCTCCCAAAACTAATGAACCAATAAAGAAATGGGCAGTGAACTAAACAGAACTTTCTCAAAAGAAGAAATTCAAATGGCCAGAAAACACATGAAAAAATGCTCACCATCTCTAGCAATAAAGGAAATGCAAATTAAAACCACACTAAGATTCCACCTCACCCCTGTTAGAATAGCCATCATCAGCAACACCACCAACAACAGGTGTTGGCGAGGATGCGGGGAAAAAGGAACCCTCTTACACTGTTGGTGGGAATGTAGACTAGTACAACCACTCTGGAAAAAAATTTGGAGGCTACTTAAAAAGCTGGACATCGATCTACCATTTGATCCAGCAATACCACTCTTGGGGATATACCCAAAAGACTGTTACTCCAGAGGCACCTGCACATCCATGTTTATTGCGGCACTATTCACAATAGCCAAGTTATGGAAACAGCCAAGATGCCCCAGCACTGACGAATGGATTAAGAAAATGTGGTATCTATACACAATGGAATTTTATGCAGCCATGAAGAAGAACGAAATGTTATCATTCGCTGGTAAATGGATGGAATTGGAGAACATCATTCTGAGTGAGGTTAGCCTGGCCAAAAGACCAAAAATCGTATGTTCTCCCTCATATGTGGACATTAGATCAAGGGCAAACACAACAAGGGGATTGGACTATGAGCACATGATAAAAGCGAGAGCACACAAGGGAGGGGTGAGGATAGGTAAGACACCTAAAAAACTAGCTAGCATTTGTTGCCCTTAACGCAGAGAAACTAAAGCAGATACCTTAAAGCAACTGAGGCCAATAGGAAAAGGGGACCAGGAACTAGAGAAAAGGTTAGATCAAAAAGAATTAACCTAGAAGGTAACACCCACACACAGGAAATCAATGTGAGTCAATGCCCTGTATAGCTATCCTTATCTCAACCAGCAAAACCCCTTGTTCCTTCCTATTATTGCTTATACTCTCTCTACAACAAAATTAGAGATAAGGGCAAAATAGTTTCTGCTGGGTATTGAGGGGGGGAGGGGAGGGGGTGGAGTGGGTGGTAAGGGAGGGGGGGGGCAGGGGGGAGAAATGAACCAAGCCTTGTATGCACATATGAATAATAAAAGAAAAAATGAAAAAAAAAAAAGAGCTTATTTTAAGACCTATAATTTCTCTAAATTAATGTGATACTAGAAAGCATAGAATCCCAGTGCTGAAAACAAATTTTAGAATTTTCTCTAACTTTTCCTCAAGTTCAGAAATCTCTTTTATTGGACCTCTTTTTGCCTCATGATCATCTAGTTTCTTCATTTACACCTGTAGGGATGGGACAGGGATGTACCCTGTAAGCCAACCCCTTCCATCCTGGCCAGCTCCTCTGTCTTCTTGAAACTTACCTGTGGTAAAACAGTATATAGAATGCACACACTACACCCTCCTCAAAACTGCTTTGGATGAGTTTTTCTCATTGTTGGATGGAAATTAACCAGGGCAAGGATCCTCATTGATAGCCATTTCATCCTAGGGCCTAAGTATATGTACTCAATAAGGTAGAGAATGGATTCTCATTCTGTTTCTATACTTAAACATTAACTGGCAGTTGAATTCCAAGATGTATGAGGGAGTCTTTGCAGAGTAGATGGAGTCAAATTTTGGAGGTTTTTCTTACTGGATTGGATAATTCTGTAGAGATAGGCTTTAGAACTCCAAATAAGCTCTGGTAATTCATAACAGGCTATCCAGGGAACAGAGAAGCAAATCAGTTGTTTTTCCTTTTTATTTGTGGTCCTCACCTTTGCTGGCAGACCCAAGCTGAAGAGAAGTGCAGGTTGTCCACTTTCTCACAGCTATTCTTTCAGCTGTGGTCTATAAGCAGAAGGACAGGCTTCTTAGCAAGCTCAAAGCCTTAAGTTCAAACCTCAGCATCACCAAAAAATAAAATAAAATAAAAAATAAAGGACCAGAAATGCATACTTAGAGAATATAATAAAACCTGGAAGCCTAAGAAAAAAAAAAAAATCTCTGAACACTAGAAGTTGACAATCCCAAGGTACCCAGAAGGAAGTACAGGAAGGAAAAATGGTCTCTCCTAGGATGTCTTTCTGGATTTACCTGCAGAACTCTGGGGTTTTAAAATCCAGATGTTACACAATATTGCACTGCAAACTGGGAGAATGCTGCCATGTAAATCATTCCTTAATACTTGAAATGGCTTCCACTTGCCAGCCCTGTATTGTATGTGAGCACACAGCTGCCCTCACACAGAACTGGACTATAGAACTCAACTTTTTTGACTCTCAGTCTTTAAAAACAAAGCAAAACAAAAACATGGCAGGAACTGTTGATTGCTTAATCAGTCACATTTTGAAAGTCATCAGCATTCCATGTAGTAAAAGCTACAGTCATTGGAGGTTAGGACACAGACTTCTTTCTTCCTTACAACCATGTTTAGTCCCCCAGTACTATGTTTCCAGCTTCTTGCTCTGGAGCTTTATGGGGCCCTGAGTTGTAGGCACCCCCTTAAGACTCTGCTAGCCTTTCTCCAGCTTCTCTCTGGGACCTGCAACTTGCATTAGCTCAAGTGTGGCCACCACTCAGGGAAAACTGAGCGAACCACTTATCTTGGTGTTCCTTGTCCCTTTTCCTTGCACAGGTACCTCCCCCAGTCTCAGTTTGGGAAAGAATGCTGCTGTCATCCCTCTGTCCCACTGCACCAATTTCATTCTGCCCACTCTGCTCTTTGGTCCCCTCAGTCCTTTTTATTCTCTCTTAGACCTCAGCCCTGGCTCTTTGCTGAGGCCGATCCACATGTTTGCATATAGACATGTTTCTGTTGCTTTCTCCTCCTGTCAGTACCCCCTCAGCCATCGTCTAGTCTTCTGTGGTCCTACCATGTGTCAACACTGCGTTCAGCTCTGCCCCTGTGTCCACACCTACCTTCATGCACAGTTGCCAGTTTAGTCTTTTGTTTCTTTCTTTCTTTTTTGGTGGGACTATAGTTTGGACCCAGGGCAGGTGCTCCACCACTTTCCCCATACCTCCAGTTCATTTTCTCTGGTTGTTTTGGAGATGGAGGTCTATTTGCCTAGGCTGGCTTCGAACCAAGATTGTCCTGATCTCAACTCAGCCTCTCAAGTACCTAGGATTACAGGCATGGGCCAGCAGCACCTACCTCAGTTTAATCTTAAAATGCGTCATCTTGTACAGTCTCTCCCCAGTCCTTCAAAGACATTAAGTAGCTTCTTGTTGCCACAGGGGAAAGCCTGAATTGACTCTTCCCTCCTCTCCCCTCCCATCCCCACTTTCTTTCTTTGCTGCATTTGAACCCAGGACCTTGCACTAGGCAAGTGCTCTAAACACAGAGCTACATCCCCAGTCCAACCTAAACTTCTTAACTCATCCTGTAAAGCCAGCCGTGTTCAGAGTCTGCCTTCTCCTCCACTCCAGATGCATCTTCTCTTGCCACCCCCATGTACTTGGTCATTGCCTTGACACTTCACGGAGCCCTTTTCTGACAGCCATTCTTTTCAAGGCACTCCTGGTGTTCACTGGCTGACTGGTTCATTTGACACTTAGTTCATTAAGCAACACTATGAAAGACATACTGTTTTGCTCACTGAGAGGCAAGACAGTCAGTCCCCTCTGGCAGGAAGCTTGCCTATGTCCCCTGGGTTCAATGTCTTCTTGTTTTATGCCTGCTGAAATCTGAGTGTAAAGGCAGAGAGACCAGGGCCTGCATGTTTTGTTTTTTTTTAAACCATCATTGGCTGGCAAGTGTTCTGCACAGAGAATTTTTTATTTCATTATTTTGGCTTTTTAAAAATTAAATTCTGTACGTTTCCATTTTAGCTTAGCATGAGTTACAACATTAAAATTAAGGTAAAAATTATGAATATAAAGTATCAACTGAATTATCTTGTAATGCTTAATTAGAGAAGACTTAAGATGATTTTTCATTAGCTTAGCCCTGCTTTGTGTTAACTTTTCTGCCTTTTTCATCAGTCTGCATGAAGAAATCAGTGATTTTTATGAATACATGTCTCCAAGACCTGAGGAGGAGAAGATGCGAATGGAGGTGGTGAACAGAATTGAGAGTGTGATCAAGGAGCTCTGGCCCAGTGCTGACGTGAGTACCTGTCTCGGAGCTGGGGCTTTGGGGAAGGTCCTGTCCTCACCCAAATGGAGGCTTGGCCACTGGCGTCTCACACAGGCACTTTACATGCAATGCAAGTGCTTTTGTAGAGTTACGGTCTAATTAAATTTTAAGGCAAACAATTTTTGCAGCCTTTAGAATTTGGAGCTTGGTGATTACTTTCATTGACTCAGATTACTTACAACTTCCCCCCCACCCCAGTACTGAATAGCATCTACTAAAGCGAACTAAATTTAGGAATCGAAAACAAATCAAAACTGTTGTAGTAGTCTGTTATTGGATGTAATTTATCAAAACTGTATTACTGTTTTCATTTCAGCCTGTCAGTGTAAATGTTACAATTGTATGAATGTAATGAAATGCCACAATAGGGCCAGGCACTGGTGGCTCACGCCTATAATCCTGACTACTTATGGAGGCAGAGATCAGGAGGATTGAGGTTCAAGGCCAGCCTGGGAACATAGTTTGGAGACCCCATCTCATAAACAATCAACACAAAATAGCTGGCAGAGGGGCTCAAGTGGTAGAGTAACTGCCTAGCAAGATGAGACCCTGAGTTCAAACCCCAGTACTGCAAAAAAAAAAAAAAAGAAAGCAAGAAAGAAAATGTCACATAGGAATTTCTTTTATTGCTTGAAATACATTTTCTTAGACAAAGATGGGCATACATTTCTTCTGCCTCGCTCTTAAAAACATTGTTTCTCCCTCTCTCTTACCAGCAACTTGTTCCTGATGTATCCCCACTCAGTGAACAAAATATTTGCCCAGAATTGCTTCTTAGTTACTGGTACTGAGTCAATAATACTGTACTTTTTAGGGCTTCTTTAAGTGTCTGTTCTGCAGGTTTGTGTATGCAGAGAAGGAGCTTACTAGAATTCATTACTTTGTGTTTCATAGCTTTTCTTTAGATTGCTCAGTGGTGTAGGGAAGCCAGGGAGGTTTTTATCCAGTAAGCAAAAGAAGGAAGTTTGCAGTGTGACACTACAGGTAAGGTGGGGAGGACATCAGCATTTTGTTGAGAGGCTGTGTGACGTAATCGGCTCTCAACTGGGCTGATTTTGTTTGCTCCTTGTGCTGTGGCAGTGTCCAGAGTGTCATGGCTTGGGGCCTGGAAGCACTACTGGCCTGTACTGGAGGAGACAGGGATGCTGCTAAACATCCCTAGTGAGCAGCACAGTACCTGCAGTCCCACACATCAGCTGTGCTGGGCTTAAACCCTGGTCTAAATCAATCCCCACCTTCTGAGACTACTGTCTTTATGGTGAATGACCTAGGAACTGCCCCAGCTCACTCACCATAGAGACAGCCTTTTCCACCATTGTCCTGCAGTGGAGTTACAGCATACGCATACCTGCCCGAGCTCCACTGTTCTCATTGGTTGAGCTGGAATTTATTCTGGTTTATGCCCAGCATAGTGCTTATTATAAGGACAGTGCCTAATGTTCTCTTTGGGGCTATCCTCTGAGCTAGCACATGTCCTGCAATTGAAGTAGTCTGACCCTGATTTAGTAATTAATGAGAAACTGCCACTTAGACAACAAAAACTAAGGATTTGTGACTGTGCTTCCATGATAAAGGAGCATTAGTGACTTGAAAGTTACTTTTAAAAGTTCACTATTTCACTGTACATGCTTCCTGTTTGAACCTGATAAATTTAAATTGTGTTCTGAATGTCTGCCTGTGAGAAACATATTCCCTACTTTATATAAGCATGGAAAAGATGCTCTTGTAGTACTGAAAGTTACCAGTAGAGGGTAGCAAAAACCTGTATTTATTCAAAGAGTGGTGATTTAATATAATAACTTTTCCTGTTTTAGGTCCAGATATTTGGAAGTTTTAAAACTGGCCTGTATTTACCTACAAGGTTAGTATATTTATAAGGCTTTCAAGGAATTGTACATTTTTCTAGAATGTATTCATTCACTTTTTTTTTTTTTTTTTTTTTTTTTGCGGCATTGGAGTTTGAACTCAGGGATTCAGGCTTTCTAGACAGGCACCCTACCACTTGAGCTACTCCGACAGCCCGACTGTTGAATGTTTAAGAGTAGAAACAAAACAGTGAGATTTGTGAAACAAATTCATTTACATGTATTTTGTTTGAATTACCTTACAGTAGAATATTGCATCTGACCATCTTATCAAGACTGAGATGATACAGAGATATGTAAAAGGTAGCATGGAGCAGTGGAATCGATTAGTCACTGATTCATAAATTGATTTACCCTGTAGGGAACTGCTCAACATTTGACTTAGCTCAGTGACACAGATGTTAGTGTCTTGTTATGATAGGTGCCTAATTGCCTGTGCTCAAGGGTGGGAGGTTTCCCTTTTATGAAGAACTCATGGAGTTAGATGTTGATTTCAGCATCTGTACCCAGAAATTTAGACAGCAGAACTGTCCTCTGGGGAGGGTTTGGGCCTTTTTGCTAAACCCTTGTTCCATTTCAGTCTCCTAATGAAGACTTGTTTGATCTACAGTCTGATAGGACTCCTTTTTGGGAGTGGTGATGCTTCCTTGTGATTTGATCTAATTCCCCTCATCTTAAAGTATGTTAAAGTAGATGGATCTTAGCAACTTCCATTCTTCTCAGTGTTCTCCTTGGCCTATGAAAGCCATAAAATATTAATATTTTCCCTTATAAGGTTCTGAGCTTCAGCAAGACCTGAAAAACATTATTTCTAAAAAAATAAATTATATGAATAGATTATAGTCACACTGGTTCAGATTTGGAAAAGGCACAAAAGTAATGGGAAGGAAAAGACTCATTCCCACTCCTGTCCCCTGGCTTTCCTCTGTGGAAGAGAGATGTCTGTACATAGAGAAGGAAGTTGTGTGTGTGTGTGTGTGTGTGTGTGTGTGTGTGTGTGTGTACCTACATATATGCTAGCAGACTGGACATACTGTTTTACACTTAATATTTCTAAGTTATAATTAATATCAACCAGATAGCAAAGTCTTAAGTTTAGCACCAAAAAGCTTTATGAGAAGGAAACAGTCACTGGTATTTTGAGGTTTTATTTCTGTCAAAATCACCTTATTTCCTGAGTCCTGAGTTCTGTGAAGTGACTGGAGGATGCTGCTAAAATCATCACCCTCTGCTTCCCCTTTGAAACCCATTGCCACCAGTACATTAGTTTTCCTGGGGCAGGACAGGAGATAGTCTCTCTTGTACTAACTTGAAGTCTATAAGTATGAATGTCTGCTAAAATAGGGACTGTTTTGTGTTTTCGCAAACCCTTTCACATCTCTGTTCAGTGACATCGATCTTGTGGTGTTTGGAAGTGGGAGAATCTGCCCCTCTGGACCCTGGAAGAAGCTCTTCGGAAACACAAAGTTGCAGACGAGGATTCGGTGAAAGTTCTAGACAAAGCAACTGTAAGTTCTTAGTATTGCATGTTTAGATCTCTAGGTGTTTACATGAAATTTAAACATTTATTTTGGTGAGCAGATGGATTGTGAGTCAGTGATTCTATGAATATCACAGTGATTGGTGAAAAAATGTCTTTTGTTTGTAAAACAAATGAACTTGTTCTGGCTATGCATTTCCTTTTTCTTTTCTTTTTTTTTTTTTGGTGGTACTAGGAGTTGAACTCAGGACCTGTGCTTGCTAGGCACATGCTCTACCACTTGAGCCACTCTGCCAGCTCCCTGGCAGTACTTTTTTTTTTTTTTTAAGAAATAATACTCATTTTTCTCATACATGATTTTGTGAAGTATATAAAGAAGTATAAAAATACAATTTCTCAGGGAGCATGAATCAAGTGGTAGAGTACCTGCTTAGCAAACGTGAGGCCCTAAGTTCAAACCCTAATAATGGCCCCCTCAAAAAAAAAAATTCTGTTAAAAATAAAAATTCATGTTAAGCAGTTTTCTTATTAGAAACAATTTGGTGATGATTCTTGATCTCTCTCTCTCTCTTTTTTTTTCCGGTAGTGGGGCTTGAACTCAGGGATTTCACCTTGAGCCACTCCACCAGCCCTGTTTTTGTGAAGGGTTTTTCAAGATAGGGTCTTGCAGAATATTTTCTTGAGCTGGCTTCAAACTGCAGTCCTCCTGATCTCTGCCTCCTGAGTAGCTAGGATTACAGGTGTGAGTGCCTGGCTGATTCTTGATCTTAATACTGAATTGAAAGGTGTTCTCCAAAGCATATATAATGTTAAGAAAAAGTTTATTGCTATGTCATTTCAAAATTCTGAATTAATACAACTGTGTTAGTTAAGGTAACTGAAATCTTTAGTATGTAAGTCGAGAGAAATAAAACATCTTGTTAGGCATCTTAAATGTGTACAGTAAGAAGGAAGAAGTTAGTATGTAGCAGAAGAGCAAGTTCATTGTGGGGCATGGTACTGAGAACGCTCAGTGTTTTAATGTCCTCATGAGAAGGGTGGAAACCTCAAGCCTAGTAACTTTGTTTCTCTTGATTTTGTCATTTCATTAGGATGAAGTATTTTTTTTAACCTTCCCTGTCTTCTCTTTTTAGGTGCCTATTATTAAATTAACAGATTCTTTTACTGAAGTGAAAGTTGATATCAGCTTTAATGTCCAGAATGGCGTGAGAGCAGCGGACCTCATCAAAGATTTTACCAAGGTCAGAGACTCTGAGGGGTCTGTCCAATGAAACTTAGGAAATGTAATTTTGACCTGAGAGTTCTCTGTGGTGGTGCTCTGGTCTCCTTTACAGAGCTGTTTTCATATGTGTGTTGCTGATGATGCTCTTCATTTTGTGTGCGCTTGTTCTGCCTCCCTTGAATCTGCTTTTAGTGGTCAGCAGTTATAACGTGACCTCAGGTAAGAGCTGAGGGTTGGGGATGCTTTTGAAAACTTCAGCTCCAGTCCTTATATTCAGGGACATGAGGGCTGAGGTGATGCTGCCAAGAACCTCCCTAGGGAGCCTTTTCTGCATTTTAATCCCCAAGTCACCTAGGAGGTGCTGCCTGCACCCTTTCTTCTCTCTCTCTCTCTTTTTTTTTTTTTTTTTTTTTGGCAGTTCTAGGGTTTGAACTCGGGGCCTCACACTTGCTAGGCAGGTGCACTACCACTTGAGCCACTCCACCAGCCCTGTTTTTTTGTGTTGGATGTTTTTGAGATTGGATTGCTCGAACTGGCCCATGCTGACTTCGAATTGTGATCTTCCTGAATTCCGCCTCCTGAGTGGCTAGAATTACAAGCATGAGCCACTGGTGCCTGGCATGCATTGGTTATTTTTGAGATAGGGTCCCTGGACCAAGATCCTCAGCTGGGATGACAAGCATGCACCTCCATGCCAGCCATTGGTAGAGATGGGATTTCATGAACTTTTTGCATAGGGCTAGACTGGCCTCAAAACTTCTTTTTCTTTTTTGGAGGTACTGGGGTTTTCACTCAGTACCTTGCACTTGTGAGGCAAGTGCTCTACCACTTGAACTACTCCCCCAGCCCTTTTTGCTTTACTTTCAGATAGGGTCTCAAGTTTTTACCTGGGCTGGCCTGGACCATGATATTCTTATGTACATCTTCCACATAGCTGGGGTGACAGGTATACACCACCACACCCAGCTTTTTATAGTTGAGATAGAGTCTCTCCAAGTTTTTGCTTACATTGGCCTGGAACCATGATCCGGTCTCTGCCTCCAGAGTACCTAGGAATACAGGTATGGGCCACCATTACCTGGCTCCAATCTCTTTGGCCTTTACAAAAATCTCTTGGTGTCCATCCTTCCACACATGCATCTTTCTTTACACTTGTAAAATGTAAGATTCTTGGCAGTAAAATTCCTGGGTCTAAAGGGTGTATGCACACCCTGTTGGATATTCATTGGATTGGTCTCTAAAAGGAGACTATATCTAGTCTGACTTTAACCATAATGTAAAAATGCTTATTTCTCCCCGTTGTTTACTTACTTTGATATGATTTTCAAAACTATAAACCTTTTCTTTCTTATTGAAGCTATTCGTGTTCATGTAAGAAGGCTAGGAACCAGAGTTCAGAAGAGAATATTGACTCTCCTACCCCTAGGAAGTAGATTTGAGACTTCTTCTTGGATTTGGGCCTGTGTTGTTTCCCTTACTGTCCCTCACTAAGGGCCTGGTTTGAAGAGTACTGGATATGTTCATGAGCAAAAGATGGGCTCGTACTGTGCCACCCTGCCAGCACCAGGGACCTGGTGCTTTCTCAGTAAAGCCTGCAGGGAGAGAAGGTCTGGGAAGTCTGTGTGGTCTTCAGCCCATGTGGAAGACAGCAGGCAAGGCTACTCCTGCTCTGAGGCTGCAGCAAAGTGTCCAAATTACCCCGGTACACAGTGTAGCACCACCTAAGAAAAGTGTTAAAAATCCCACTGATTCATTGCTTTCAAATCTTGAGGGACTTTGTCCTTGTCCTGTTTCTGTCATCTGTTTATAGATGAGTGACACATAGTTGTGGTCATAGATGAGCCCCATCAGATATGTACTGTTAAGTGAGCTCATGGATGCTGTTTGTGTTACCATGTTTTAGATTTTAGACAGGAGAAAATCCTTGGTTATTTACAGTTTACTTTTTTTTTTTTAAGACCAGTTTATGCTCTACTAATGCCTAGAGTATTACTGATAGAAGAATTTATTGAAAATATAATTTTGTTTCTTTTTCAGAAATATCCTGTATTGCCATATTTGGTTTTAGTATTGAAACAATTCTTACTACAGAGGGACCTTAATGAAGTATTTACAGGTGGAATTGGTTCTTATAGTCTCTTTTTAATGGCAGTCAGTTTCCTTCAGGTAAGCTGTATTGGTATACTATGCTAGTGTATACTAAAAGGAAAATAAATAAATAAATCAGCTAGGTAGACATTTTGAGGGAAACAATTAAATCAAGCTTTATCGGCATGCTTCCCTTGATTACCTGTGGCTCTCTTCCCTTTAAACTGGGAACCTTTTCATAATTTAGCAAATAAGTAGTTAACAGTTCCTTGGAGAAAATATTTATTGTTGCTCTTTTTTCTGTGTTTTGGCTGTTCAAGGTTTTTTTTTTTTTTTTTTTGTGGTACTTGGGTTTGAACTCAGAGCCTAAACCTTGAGCCACTCTGCCAAGTTATAGGTTTTTTTTTTTTTTTCAAGATAGGATCTTATGAACTATTTTCCCTGGGCTGGGTTCAAACTTTGATCCTCCTGATCTCTGCCTCCTGAGAAGCTAGGATTACAGGCATGAGCCACCAGCAACCAGCTGTACCAGAGTTTGAACTCATGGCCTTATGCTTGCTAGGCAGATGTTCTACCACTTGAGCACTCTGCCAGCCCAGTATTTGTTGTCTTTAATCCCAGGTGTTCTAATGTATTGAGATTTTTTTCACTGCAGATGTTAATAAGCAGCAGTAAGATCTGGTTTCCGTAAGTGTAAATGGTAGTGTGAGTGCCAAAAATAAGAGTGTGTCCCCAGCAACTAATTGCAAAGTTTACCTAGGTTTGAGACCTGCAGGGTTGGGTAAAAAGAGTTAAAGTCTTAGTCTTGGATGTCTCTGTGGCACTGATTGCCAATATTCAGGCTCTGCTATCAGTCAGATGATTTCCATGATGTGGTACGCTCTTCCAGCCCTGTCAAATTGAGCCTTATAGACTGCCCTTTGCCACTCTGTACCCACGGGATTGTTTTATGGTATTATCTGTAACAGCAGCACACAACCTTTTATTACTCCATTATTTATTGACTTTTCTGCCAAACCAAAATTATAATAATACTGTTTGTAGAAGTTAGAATGCTGTTTAAACCCCCTCCCTGATAATTTAGAGAAAATCCAAAATAATTTCTTCCTCTCTTCTTTTTTTTAGTTACATCCCAGGGAAGATGCTTGCATCCCCAATACAAACTATGGTGTTCTCTTGATAGAATTTTTTGAATTATACGGACGACACTTCAATTATTTAAAGACTGGCATCCGGATAAAGGATGGTGGTTCATATGTGGCCAAAGATGAAGTACAGAAAAATATGCTTGATGGCTATAGGCCATCAATGCTTTATATTGAAGATCCTTTACAACCAGGTATTGAAATTAAGTAAACTTGTAGGCATCCAAAGAGAGGGCATTGCCAGTCACCTTGTACCTTAAACTGTCTTTAGATAAAAAGTGAAGGATAACTTCTAATTGTGTTCATTTTTAAAAAATATTTTATTAGCAAACATACAAAAAATAAACAGATACATACCCGGGAAAAACACCTGGTAGACTTCCATAATGAATTCAGAAGTAGAATCCATTTGACTCTTAAAAGCCAAGCAGGATAGGTATTTACTGGGCGGGTTCATGTGCATCTCCAGGATAGCCACCATTTTTCCTTTTTCTTGGGTCCTTATTTACCATGATTGCAGCCAGTTTTCTGCCAGGGCTTTAAGGAGATGATTCTGAAGTCCTTAGAGTCAGTGAGCATGGTAGCATGTCTCTGAATTCATGACCAAAAGGATTCATGGCGACTACTTGTTTACTTTTTTGAACATTTCTTTTCTCTCTTATTTTGCATAGTCTCCCTGTGCTTTTTCAAGCTTTTCAGTAGCTTAAAGTGAACAGAAAGTGAGTTCTTTTCAAGAAGTTGTATTTGTTTAATTGTCTTTTACTTTTTCTGAACATTATTTTTTCCTGATTAAATTGTAAAATATTTAGATTCTGCGTTATTGGATTTTAGTAGAAATAATTTCAGTCATTTGCTTTAATATGAAACTTTGAAGAATGAAGACATACAGCAGTTGCCTAGGAGGCCTTTCCTGGCTTCCTGAGCTGCCTAGACATATTCTGTGTCTTTTTTCATTTAGGGAAGTATTCAGTGGGAGATGGCTGTATGTAAAAAGATAAAAGATTTTTGGTGAGATAGCATTGCTTTCTAGGAGCTCATAATTTAGTGTGAGACATATATATATATATCTAATCAAAATCAAAACCAAATCAAATCAAAACCCAGGTATATCTATTTAGCTTAGTTTTATTCCAGTGAGGCAATGGGCACTATCTCTGGTTTGCATGACTGTTCATACAAGTGATGGGAGAGTCCTGGTTGGGCCAGAATGGATCCGCTGTTATAAAGCAAAAGCTGCATGTTTGAAGGCCGGGTTGCTGAGGGAGCAACTGACAGCCCAGCTTCTGGTGCACCTCCAGTCCTTGCTTTTACTCTCCCTGGAAGAGGGCTTTTCAGCGTTCATTCATGTTAGGCAGCAAACTTACTATTTTATGTGTACCTTTCTCTTAAAGGTAATGATGTTGGAAGGAGCTCATACGGGGCCATGCAAGTGAAACAGGCCTTTGATTATGCCTATGTTGTTTTGAGTCATGCCGTATCACCAATTGCAAAGTACTATCCCAACAATGAAACAGAGAGGTAAGTCTATCTAAAATGACTCCATGTGTCAAAATTCATTTGCAACTTCTTTACTTCATATTAACATATTTCCTCCTCTTTTTTTAAAACCCACACAGCATATTAGGTAGAATAATTAGAGTGACGGATGAAGTTGCCACATATAGAGACTGGATATCAAAGCAGTGGGGCTTGCAGAGTAGGCCTGAGCCTTCATGCAATGGTAAGACTTTTTCATTGACTGACTGACCAGGTCTTAGAGGCTTTTCTGTGTTGTGTGTATTTAATGGGAAGAAACGTTTTCCAATCTTCTGCCACTCTTTCAGGAAATGGTGTTACCTTGATAGTAGATACTCAGCAGTTAGATAAATGTAATAATAATCTGTCTGAAGAAAATGAAGCCCTTGGAAAATGTAGAAGTAAAACTTCGGAATCTCTTAGTAAACACTCTTCAAACTCTTCATCAGGTCCAGTGTCCTCTTCTTCTGCCACGCAGTCCAGCTCTAGTGATGTCGTAAGTATGATAGACATGGCTCTTTGAAATTTTGATGCTTACCTGTTCTCTTGCAGGGGATAACTCTGTCCAGAGAGCTAAGGCTGGTCCTTTTTCTTATCACTGGGAAATTTTAATAGCTTTCACATTTGTACTTTTTCTCAACATTTCTTAAGAAAACTTTCAAACATACAGCAAAAGTCAAAGAATTTTTTGTGAAGACTGCATACTCACCATTAACAGTTTACTTGCTTATCATATGCCTGTCTGTCCATCCATCTCTGTATCCATTGATTTATCTTATTCTTTGGTCCATTTCAAAGTATATTACAAACTTTGGTACACTTCTCTCAGATTTCTGTAGTGTGCATTGTTAACCAGATGTCAATATTTGTTAATACTTTTTCTTTTGATATAAAATTGACATAAAAGGAATTGTACATTGACTAAATTTCATCACCTGCATATATGTGTATAACCCAGTATGTCATTAAGATATAGAGTGGTACAGTCACCCTAGGAAGCTCTCATGACTCCTGTTGTGGATCCCTAGTCCTACCCTCAAGAGAGCAAACCACTCTTAATCATTTTCTAATACCATGTATCGGTTTTGCTTATTTCAGAATTTCATATAAATGGAATCACATAGCATCCACTCTTTTTTGTAAGGCTTCTTTCACTCAGAATAATGGTGTGTTTGTTGTTGTACCTGGTTTTGAACTCTAGGCTTTGTACTTGCTAGGCAGATGCTCTCGCACTTGAGCCACACCCTCAGCCCTTTTTGCTTAGTTATTTTTCATATAGGGTAAACTTTTTGCCCAAGGTTGGCCTCAGACCATGATCTTTTTACCTATGGCCTGCCTCCCTTGTAGCTGAGATGTCTGCCCAACTAGATGAGCACCCTTGTAGCAGGCATACTTGAGGCGTGCATCACCGGCTTATTAGGTCAGATAAAGTCTAACTGTCCAGGCTGGACTCAAACTCATGATCCTCCCAGTCTCTACTCTGCCATCCCAGACTCTCAGAGATTGAACCCCTTAAGCCCATGATCTTATGTTTGATTGAAGACCTCAAGCCAGGTGTGGGACCTAGGTCCCTCCCCCTTTACCATGCTCTTTCCATGGTACTGTGATTTGTTTTCTGTAAATAAAAATAGAGACTGAGAACTGTGTGAGTTCCTTCCTAGTCAGTTAACAAGTGGTAAAATAAGTCACTTGAAGTGGTGTTTGAAGGAAAACTTAAGATTGATTCATTCTGAAAAGCTCCCAAATATTTCACATTAGTCTAGAAAGTATGTAGCTGAAATTGTTTTCCTTTCTGAATATTGAATGTGTACATTATTAATACATTATTATAATCCTGTGACTTGTGTTAGGATTCCGATGCGACACCATGCAAAACCCCAAAACAGCTGCTCTGTCGTCCGTCCACTGGGAACCGAGTGGGGTCACAAGATGTGTCCTTGGAGTCCTCTCAGACAGTTGGGAAAATACAGAGCACCCAAACCACTAACACATCCAACAACACCAATAAATCTCAGGTATGTGGAACCTGTGTTTGTAATTGGTGTTAATCAGCACAAAATAGTTAGAATTTCTTATATGTGAATAAATAATTTTTATTGTGGGTTTAAAGAAAACTCTAGGCTAAAGAACAAACCTTTAGCAAGGCGCTGTTATCTCATGCCTGTAACCCTAGCTACTTGGGGGGGCAGGGATCAAGAGGATGAGGCTAGTCTGGGCAAATGGTTCATGAAACCCTATCTCAAAAATACTCTGGAGGAGTAACTTAAGTGGTAGAACAGCTGTCTAGCAAATATGAGGCCCTGAGTTCACTTCACCAGCCCAGATAGTGGTGTATTTTTTTCAAGAGTTAACCCTTCTAGTTAGCCCTTTATTTGCCCTGTGGAAAGGTCACTGGTGAGTATAGTAACTCTCACCTGCATATTTCTAGTTTTGAAAGCTCCTGAATTCAGGTTCGGTAATTTACAATACTGATGACTTTCTGGTTGCTTTCTTTCTCTACAGCATGGATCAACGAGGCTCTTTCGTTCTTCCAGCAAAGGCTTCCAAGGTACAGCTCAAACAAGCCATGGTTCCTTGATGACAAACAAACAACATCAAGGCAAATCCAATAATCAGTATTACCATGGCAAAAAGAGGAAACACAAGAGGGACACGCCCCTCTCAGACCTTTGTAGATAGTCTGCACTGTGCGACGGACTGTCTTCTGTGTGCAGTGATCTCGTGCTCAGGACAGTCACACAGGGACTCCTGGGGACAGCAGGAGCCTCATACTGTTCAGACGTTGATTTAGCAACTGCGTTTTTTCCCAGCTCGCCACAGAATGGATCATGAAGACTGACAACTGCGAAAACAAAAAGCAAGCAAAAAAAAGGGGGAAAAAAAGGCTGCTTATTTGATAAGTCATATGCTACAACAGGGTCATTTTAAGATTTAAAGCTTGAATGTAAAATATTTCCCATTGGCTTTATGCAGAGTTATAGGGAATAGTATTCAGTGTGGGTAGGGTGATAGAAACAAAACACAGTTTCAGAGGATGGGGTGGGGAAGGCAAACAAAAGTATCTTATAGGAAGTCCAGATTTCAAAGGGGAAAGTGATCTGTGCATGTTTTTTTTTTTTTTTTTAAATATTTTTGCATATATTTACCATTTTATTGTGTGTATATATAGAAGACCACATAGGAAATTGATATTTGTAATAGTGGATTTGTTAATACTTTTTACATAACATTACTGTTTGAATTGTAAACAGATTTTTTCTCAGGATTAGTTTGAAAAATAATCTAATTGTCATCCTAACATCCATACACAGGGACGTGATTAGCTCTGTTACTCATTTTGTTTCCTCAGCATTGAAATGACTTCATAGAACCCTTGTGACCTGCTGCAAAATTTTTTCCTGTCTAAAGAAAAGGTTTATGGTGGCAAATGACATTTATTTTATTTTGTAAAAAGAAATGTACTATGTACTTTTGTGTAAACACTGAAAAGTCTCTAGTCATCTCTGAGAATTAACTTGCAACTGTTTTCTATAGTGCTGTCTTCTTGGGCAGTGGGCAATTACATGACTTTGTGTTTGTTTCCTTTGCAGTCTTTTTTTCCCCTCCCTGTCCTTCTTCCTACTAGGAAACAAAGGGCCACCCTGATCTGGTCCTGGCTAGTGAGACCTTGAGCTCTGCAGACTTTGCATGCCAGCTCCTCTACCCCGTGTGCCATGTGTTCTTGTTTTTCATCTCTTATTCTTTTAAATTCATGCTTACTACTGTGGGAGAGAGTAACTGTACACAGCTTTAATTAAATCATACTTATAAAAACTATTTTCTTATACTCCACTTTATGCTTTTGGTATTGTCAATCTTTAAAAATTAAATGGTCTTTGATAATGGATCTATTTTGTATTGCCTTATTAAGACCAAATACTTCTTGTCATCCCATTCTTTATCCTTTACTTTCATGGAATTGTTGTCTTTAATTAAAACTTTTTTAAACATTGGCTTGTTTTAATCATACTGTAAATTTTGGTTGTGGTCAGCTTTGAGTGCAAATGAGATGTATAATTCTGTTATTCATCACCTGTCGAGTTTGAAACTCAGTTGGGAATATTTAATATAATAGACTGTAAGTGGCATTTCTGAAAATGCTTTCTTCCAAGGTGATAGCCCTTATGTTTAGCATCAGTGTGTGTGGCTGTGTTAAATGCAGCCATTTCGAGATGAGATTCTTTCTTACATACATATGAAGTACTATTGGCATTTAGGAATTTCTTTTATATACATTTATGAAGTATTGAAGACCAATCAGACCATTAATGGACATTTAGTGTATCTTTTATAATGAGAATAATGCTAAAAATAAGACCAAAACTGGTATCATCACTGAAATTGACAATTTTTCAATATGTTCATATTTTAATTCACAACAGAAAAGTATGTTCCACAACTGGAAACTCATAGTGCTTGTGTAAACGGTGGAAGATTTTAAATGTGATGTTATTATTTTGATAATGTTTTAAATTTTAGAGTCACGTTTTATTCTGATCAGAGTTTTTATCAAGATGTTGAGCTTTTTTTGAAACTAGTTTGTCATAACATTGTGCATAATCACAGTATTTATTTTGTAGGACTATTGTGAATGTGTAGACTTATGTTTACTGCTAAGGGAACAATTATTTATAAAATAATATTAAATCCAGTATTAGCTGCCTATTTCAGACACTTAATACTTACAGAGATCCATGTTACATTTACCACACTGAAGTTTTTTGTTTTTTGTTTTTTGTTTTTTTAAAGAATCACCCTCATTGTTGAAAGTAAATGTATTCTTAGGGTGCGAATATTAGTGTTCCAATAAGCATGTGATTATATTAAGGTGGTGGTAGCGGGAAGATAATCTTGATTCCATTGGGAATCTTAGGTTTTCGTAAATTTATTGGGAAAATAGCTTTTCCTGTACTGCTGAAGTTTCTTTTTGGTAAACAGTATCTTTCTAAAAGAAAAAGCATGAAGGAGAAATTGAGGCGTGTATACATTTCCTCAAACGACCAGCATTGTATTCGTGAATACTGTGTATCTTGCAATGAACAGTGTGGAGCTGTTCATTTTTCAATCTGAAGTAAAATACTTTCAAGAACTTTTAGTTTGCCTGCTCATTTGTTTTGTACATTTCATCTCTGTATTTGACTCCTGTCTTATTTCTTGTTTGAGTTTTAATAATTTCTATAAAGATTTTGTGGCTATTTGGGAAATGTGTCATTTAAATATTACAGCCATCCATATCCATGAGTCATAACCTTCCTTGGCTAGCAATTGTAGAAGGGGATTTCACAAGTTCTGCCTCACTATGGTGACATTTCTCTGGCGGTCATAAGAAACATTTAAATACAGCTTTGTAGAGGTGTTGATGGATTGGAGGGGTGTCTGCACAAAACTTGGGTGGCTACATTTTGATGCTGAAGGGAAGTGCATTTTTTTTTTCCAGTTGTAATGTGTCCATGGAGATGTCTCCTCTGTTGGGCAATGGTGCACTTGTTTTTCAGATCTAGCTTTGATCTGAAGGATCTGTGTTTTTCACATGTAGTTGACCTCCAGTCTTCAACAGTGGTCAGATTTCAGATTACACGCTTTTCTTATTTTGAGTGTGTTTTGCCTTTACTTGTATTCTGAGCCTTTCATTAATATTTCAGTTATTTGGTTTGCCCCAGATACTCTTGGATAACGTTTTCCCAGGGCAAGGCATGGGCCATAGGAAGAGCATTGTAATAGTCACTTCTCTCTTCTGTCTCCATGTGTTTTCTTTTCATGTAATGGTAAGTGTGACTTGTGTTCGCGGCCATGTATAGACTAGTGCTTGGGGCTTCCAGAAATGTAGGAGAGTCAGAGGAGAGCATGATGCCAGGAAGTGAAGGACTGTGTTGATGTGACATAAGAGTTTCTGATGACCGAGATATATACTTACCAGGTTGCTCCACAGGCATCTCTAGAAATCAAGTGAAGCATCACAGCTCATGCTTGTAGCTCTAATTACTTGAGGGGCAGATATGGGGAGAGTCTTTGAGGCCAGCTGGGGCAAAGTGTTTGTGTTTGTGTGACCCCCCCTCCCATCTCAACCAGTCAAAGCTGGATATGGGGTGTACTGTGCAGGAAGCATAAATAGGATCCCAGTCCCCAGGCTAGCCTGAGCATAAAGTGAGACCCTGTCTCAAAAATAACCTAAGCAAAAGGACTGAGGGTGTGGCTCACATGGCAGAACACCTGCCTGAGGTCCTGAGTTGATCTCCCAATACCACCACCACCACCACCACCCAAAAAAAAAAAAATTGCAGAAATCACTTTTATTGGGCAATACTGCTTAGTGTTTATTTTTTTGCAGTATGGGGATCTGTTTATGTTTTGCTAATATGTTGGTCATGACTACATGATCTATGGTTTGAAACTGGTGAGTTGCTTTAATTTCAACATGCTGTTGATATCTTAGTGTTTTAGTCAGTGAATGGGAATGTTTTGAGAGAATTGGTTGCTTTACAGTTAACTTTTAAAAACTTAATAGTAAACTATGAAAACATTCCTAATTTTTTACTGTGATAGATATTGAAATGTTAAAATTAATCAGAAGAATTTATTCTTAGCCATCTATTCCTACTGTCTGAGCTCCTTAAACTTTCAGTTAGTGGAAAGTTATATCAGAGTATTTTGTGAGCAAAGTATTCTATAAATGGCTCTATTAATCTTGAGTAGAAACATTACGTCTAATAGTTACTCAGTAATTTTTAACTGACATAGCTCATCTCTGAAAATTCAGAGAAGGATGTGGCATTAAATCAGTAACAGATGTGAGTAAGCAGCTCCTTTGGAAGCGTGTTCATCTTGCCTCTTCTGATTCTCAAGATAGCTCCCTACCACTTCATCAGAACATTTACAGGTGGATGTTTTAATATGTTCCTCAATATTTTTCATAGCTCAGAAACAAGGCAGATTTTATTGTGGGAGTAATTTGTATGGCTCAAGAACTTCACATACCCCCCAAACCCTTTTCCTGACCATCTTCTCATGAGCCATCTTGATCTCACACATTGGTCAAGGATAATCTAAATACATGTATAAAATGAATGTTGACAGAATTGTTAGACTAAAAAGTAAAGTCTTGTTGATTTGAGCTTAATGTTTATTTGATAGTCTTTTTTTTTTTTCTTGGCAGTATTGGGGTTTGGACTCAGGGCCTCAACCTTGCTAGGCAGGTGCTCTACCTCTTGAGCCACTCCAGCAACCATTTTTTGTGTTGGACTTTCTTTGAGGTAGGGTCTCACAAGCTATTTGCCCAGGATGGCTTTGATCCCTGATCCTCCTGATCTCTGTCTCCTAAGTAGCTAGGATTGCAGGCATGAGCCGCTGGTGCCTATTTGTAGTTAATAAACTGCTTACTATTTGGTTGGTTTTAGGTAGCACTGAGGTTTTAACTCAGGTCCTTGAGCTTGCCAGACAGGAGCTCTACCACTTGGGCCATGTCCCTAGCACTTGTTTTTGAATGTATTTTGTCTTGACATTTTTTTTTTTCTGGCGGTATTGGGGTTGGAACTCAGGGCCTTACGCTTGCTAGACAGTTGCTCTACCACTTGAGCCATCCAGCCAGTCCTGGTCTTGACATTCTCTTACTGAGTTTAACCTAATCTGTAGTTTCCTAGCCTGAAAGAGAGAACAGACTGTACACAGTGCAAAACCATGTTGGTTACTGTGAGTTTGAGGTGGCTCTTGGATATCTTAAGAAGATAAGTTTGCCAGGTCAGTAAGAACAGATGAGTAGAAGGAAGTTGGGTATTCTAGCTTGTGTATCTCATTTTTATTGGTGTCTGTACATCCTTATTTTTACATTTTAATTGAAATTCTTGTTTTTTTCTGCACCCTTGGCACCCTTTCCCTGTCAGCTTGCTAAGGCCTGACAATAGAAGTCTCACTGAGGACACATATGAAGGAATTTGTAGGACAGTTGTCTTATTGTAAAGATGCTGTGGAAACAAAATACCTTTAGCACTGGGAGAGATGATGGAGCAAAGAGAGCTGGTCATTACCTGAGGGGGGAGGGGGGATGTGGAGAAGCATTAGCTAC